ATATATACGAGTCACAAACAACGAGTGATGGCAACTAGATTGTTAATTTATTAATGATTCTAAATATTATCACAGAAAGTACGAAAGAAAAGCGAATAATTTGCACAGTGCATTAAAATATTGTATTTAAGCTCTTTATTTTACACAGAGCACTACACTTTGTTTTTATACTGCCATACAATTGATTAATGTTCCAAGTTTTTTGCATTTCTCCCAAAAATTCAATCAAATTGTTTGGTCATTCTTTGATCTTATAAAGGTTTACATGAGCTTATGCACCCCAATAATTTTCATAGCAAGACTTTGTCAAGCCATGGCTGTGAGTGTTTCATCGGCCTCTTTTTTGTCAAAATATTGTTTCATCATATTTGCTGCATGACTGGGAGCATTGTCTTGCTTTTAGATGAAGCCCTGTCCGATGAGCTGTGTTTCTGAAGAAATGACATAATGGAACATAATGTGCGCGTACCTGTCAGCATTCAAGGTGCCATCAGTTTTGAGCAGATAACGGACACCAGTGGCTGAGAAGGATTCCCAAACTTGTAGAGATTTCTAATCAAGCTCTAATGTATATGTTCACATTGATCGTGTTACTATTGTCCTTCCTGCTGTCGAACAAGCTGTCATTTATTGTTGCTGAAGTCAACTAAGACTCATCGATAAAGAGTATATGTTTCCAGCTCTTCTCATTTCACTATTTCTGTTCTGCTGTCCATTTCAACCTTTTGGTTCTATTACCATCTTCTGGATTACATACACTATTTCTGTGACTACATTTACATGTACACGCAAATGCCATATTGCTTCAACTATTTTCATGAGGACAGACGAGCACTGATTTTTAAAGTAATTTCAGAGTACACACCTCAATGTTGTTTCAATTATATTTGAGACTACATACGCACGCTACTACAATAATTTTTACGAGTACAGACACATTGCTTAATCAATTATCTTCACGAGTACATACACGCTGCCAGTTTCGTCACACGTACACACATGCACTGCTAATTCAGCTATCTTAATGAGTACATACACTGCTCCTTCAAGTATATATATATATGCAAATATTGTATATCTTTGTATATCTATCTATCTGTATTACTGTTTCTTTGTATATCTATCTATCTGTCCTGCTGTTTCTTTGTATATCTATCTATCTGTCCTGCTGTTTCTTTGTATATCTATCTATCTGTCTTACTGTTTCTTTGTATATCTATCTATCTGTCCTGCTGTTTCTTTGTATATCTATCTATCTGTCCTGCTGTTTCTTTCAATATCTATCTACTTTTCTAGTGTTTCTTTGTATATCTATCTACTTTTCTAGTGTTTCTTTGTATATCTATCTACTTGTTCTACTGTTTCTTTGCATAAACACACACACACACACTGTTACTTAATATCTTTACGAGTACACACACACTGTTACTTTATATCTTTACGAGTACACACACACTGTTACTTTATATCTTTACGAGTACATACACACACTGTTATTTATATCTTTACGAGTACACACACAAACTACTACTTCATCTGTCTTCACGAGTACACATAAACACTGCTAATTCAACTACTCTCGAGTACACGCATTCTGCTATGCTATTTCAACTCTCTTCATCATACATTGTTGCCTCAACCATCTTCACAAGTGCACGTACAATTCTATACAACTTCAACTGTCTTTGTGAGAAGAAAAACGCACTGCTTCTTATAGTATCTTCAGGTATCTTAAGAATACACAAAAACACACTGCTTTTAAAACTATCTTCACGAGTAAAGACAATCACTACTATTTCAACTATCTTTACAAGTACACACACGTACCGATATTCAACTATCTTCATAAGTACACATACGTACAAGACATACACGTACCTGATACTTCAACTATCTTTACAAGACACACACATACCCGATACTTCAACTATCTTTACAAGACACACACATACCCGATACTTCAACTATCTTTACAAAACACACACGTACCTGACTTCGACTATCTTTACAAGTACACACACGTACCTGATACTTCAACTATCTTTACAAGTACACACACGTACCTGATACTTCAACTATCTTTACAAAACACACACGTACCTGACTTCGACTATCTTTACAAGTACACACACGTACCTGATACTTCAACTATCTTTACAAGTACACACACGTACCTGATACTTCAACTATCTTTACAAGTACACACACGTACCTGATACTTCAACTATCTTTACAAGTACACACACGTACCTGATACTTCAACTATCTTTACAAGTACACACACGTACCGATATTCAACTAGCTTTACAAGTACACACACGTACCGATATTCAACTATCTTCATAAGTACACATACGTACAAGACATACACGTACCTGATACTTCAACTATCTTTACAAGTACACACACGTACCGATACTTCAACTATATTTACAAGTACACACACGTACCGATACTTCAACTATCTTTACAAGTACACACACGTACCGATACTTCAACTATATTTACAAGTACACACACGTACCGATACTTCAACTATCTTTACAAGTACACACACGTATCGATACTTCAACTGCCTTTACAAGTACACACACGTACCTGATACTTCAACTATATTTACAAGACACACAAGTACCTGATACTTCAACTATCTTTACAAGACACACAAGTACCTGATACTTCAACTATCTTTACAAGTACACACACGTATCGATACTTCAACTATCTTTACAAGTACACACACGTACCGATATTCAACTATTTTTACAAGAACACACGTACCCGATACTCCAACTATATTTACAAGTACACACACGTATCGATACTTCAACTATCTTTACAAGTACACACACGTACCGATATTCAACTATCTTTACAAGACACACAAGTACCTGATACTCCAACTAACTTTACAAGTACACACACGTATCGATACTTCAACTATCTTTACAAGTACACACACGTACCTGATACTTCAACTATCTTTACAAGACACACAAGTACCTGATACTTCAACTATCTTTACAAGACACACAAGTACCTGATACTTCAACTATCTTTACAAGAACACACACGTACCGATATTCAACTATCTTCATAAGTACACACACGTACCGATATTCAACTATCTTCATAAGTACACATACGTACAAGACATACACGTACCTGATACTTCAACCATCTTTACAAGTACACACACGTACCGATATTCAACTATTTTTACAAGTACACACACGTACCGATATTCAACTATCTTTACAAGAACACACGTACCCGATACTTCAACTATCTTTACAAGTACACGCGCGTACCGATATTCAACTATCTTTACAAGTGCACACACGTACCGATACTTCAACTATATTTACAAGAACACACGTACCGATATTTAACTATCTTTATAAGTACACACACGTACCGATATTCAACTAGCTTTACAAGAACACACGTACCCGATACTTTAACTATCTTTACAAGTACACACGCGTACTGATATTCAACTATCTTTACAAGACACACACGTACCGATATTCAACTAGCTTTACAAGAACACACGTACCCGATACTTTAACTATCTTTACAAGTACACCCACGTACCGATATTCAATTATCATCACAAGTACATACACGTACCCATATTTAAACTATCTTTACAAGACACATACGTACCGAATACTTCAACTATCTTTACAAGTACACACATATTCAGCTATGCTACTTCAACTATCCTTAAAGGTACACACTCATAAACTTCAACTGTTTTTTGCGAGTACACACGTACCCGATACTTTAACTATCTTTACAAGTACACCCACGTACCGATATTCAACTATTTTTATAAGTAAACACACGTACCGATACTTCAACTATATTTACAAGTACACCCACGTACCGATACTTCAACTATATTTACAAGTACACACACGTACCGACATTCAACTATATTTACAAGTACACCCACGTACCGATA